AGTTATCGACAACATAAACTTAAGCACACATCTGACCGATTTGTCACAATAATAGTACAAAGTAAAAACCAAGAGCTGTAGTAGCGGTACTGGAAAATAAACCTAGGAAACACCGCTTAATAGAAAACAATTGGCAAATATGAAACAAGAATATTTACGATCCCAAGGGACAGAAAAAATGAATACATTCTCATCCACTGATCTACTAACCTTACCTAGTATTCTACTTCTAACGTCAAAATTACTCAGTTGCCACTTTCACCATAAGTGAGCAGTCTTTTAAGGACATCTGTGATTACATACTAGCAAGTGATGTTTGTATTCTATTCTAAGGTAATACAAAACGAAATTTTGAGAAGTAAACTCGCCCATTGATAGGCATGCGGACATTTTATCTACAACACAGGTGGTGTAGGTTTACAAAATTCAGACGCGGTTTTCGCATTCCTGTCGAAAACTCGTCAGATATCAACACACTGCAGTTGATAAGACTTCTAAGTTAAGTTGAAAGATCGACCAACTCAATTAGTTTACTTTATATGAACTAATAATAAAGTAACATAATACATTTAATGAGAAACCCACAGACAAACCATCGCATATGAATCTCATTAATCCATTCGGCTGCTAGTATCATATGTTGAGATAGGATATGATAGTTTGGAAGTGTATAATTTTACAAAACAATTGAAAACTTATATATGTTCAACATGCGCATACTAACATACTTCTGTACAATCAGCTAATTTTGTGACGTCAAAGCTGTTTCGATATAACAAATTTCAAAAAATACAGGCTATAAAAACCATTTTGTCTAAAGTTGAAGGTAAATTCGTGAAAATTCACAAAAAACTAAGAATACAAAATTGCTGCCCAAAAATATTCAACAGTTTAAGATACAGGCATTTAAGACAAAGGTTTATATATGCGTATGCAGTAGTCTTATTTCAAAAATCAATATATTTCATGCTTGTCTTTGTTGCGATATACATAAAATGCGACAAAGGTCACTGGAATTAGTCATTTACCCAATATTTATCGTGCATCAGAAAAAAACCATTCATGTATTTAGACATGAATTAGCTATCGATTAGTAGGTGACAATTTATTTGAGCAACATTTGGAAACCAACTCAAAATGGAGATGTTCAGAGAACAACCCGTTACTTTACAAAGTGCAATTTACATGAAATTCGTTCATCCAGAGAGAATGATGGAAAACTATTAGAACCATGATTGACAAGGAAAACAAAGAAATACAAAACAATGGTGGATTGAAAAATAAAAAGTTGAGGCAAATTAGTGTGAACGAATATAAAGAATTATTTGAGAGGTGCTCTTTTCCGACAAACGCAGATAGTTTAAAGTTAGTTTGTGTCAGGTGGATATCACTCAGCATCACATAATCACGACTTTTATGTCCACTTTTTGAAAACAAAGTAGAGAACACTTCACAGATAACTAGAATAGATACTATCCGAAAACTGATAACGTATGAAACTCATACCATAACACTGAATACAGAATATCATACACAAGACAGCTCAGATTATAAGCCAGTAGCTCAAAATAGAAAAGAGAAGAACTTGCTGAAACACAAACGAGGTTTGATATATTGTTCACTTGTTAGGCGCTAAATTTGACTTAAGGCTCATTATGCTAAAATACTAGATAAAAGTAATGATCATTCAAACAGTAGTCGACCAAAAGCAACCGGAAATGAACACTCTTCTGAGCGGGTCATAAATCTACCTCTAAATGGAGATTTATTTCCGGTTCATTGTGTGGAAACGTAGTAAGCGCTAACAGCTGGATGAAATTGATAAAGGTGTATAACCTGAACGAATACTGAGTGTTTGATCGAGTAGATTATGCCACTGAGTGTTAGTCATAGTTATTGTGTTATGGTTAGAGATATTACTCAAGTGTATAGACTGAAGTAGAGGAGCTAGTGTTTCAACTTTAACCCAATATTTACGAGCAAAGTTATTGTGCAACTAGGCTACAGATCAAATAAGCTTATAAATTTTCTACTTTCAGAAATAACAAACAGGACCATAGAGAAGTTCACATTATTGTAAAAAATGAGTAACAATTCTTCATCTTAAACAGATACTAAAGACTGCAGTCTGACTAACAATAAAGCGGGAAGTTTGAACCAACCACCAGCTTATAAATATATAGACTTAAGATGTATTACCAATGAGGATGTCAACAATATACGATCACAGTAAGATAAAACAGGTTTTGAAAAAAAGCATATGTGTATCCATTAAAATACTGTACGATTATCAGACCTTATTTTCTACTATATCTACATTAATTATTTTACCAACACAACTAAAACTAAGCTATTGACTACAGTTATTCAAAGTTTGTAGGCTATATATAGAAGTTCCGTTTAAGTATGTAGTAGGTATGCTGGAGAGTTGTGTTATCACATATAATAACTCCGACATATACTAGCACTTACATCGCCAAACATCATTCGTCTTCTATTTTTTCTCGCTGAAGTAAGCTGAAAATGAATTTAGGGTCTCTTAAAATACTCAGTTAACACGAAAACAATTTTCAAAAACTGAAATCAATTCAATCAGCACACCAGCAATAAATCAAAACATGATAGACAGATTGAAATCTTTGATAAATAATGAAATAATAACGCTAATCGCTAATAATTTATTGCGCGAAAAACAGCCTGTTACTTATTTCTTTCTCGATAACATGGCATAGAAGGTAAAATAATAGACCTTTACCATTTAAAATGAAATTTTACAGGTGAGTAGTAGTCTAGGCGATGGGTAAGCGCTATTCAAATAGACAAAACTAAAAAAAGAACATGCCCCAAGTGTGACGAATACAAATATGAATCTTTTATCTTTAGGCGTGGTCAGTATTACGTCCCTTCCCTTAGCTAAATTTTTTCAAAATTGTAATTTGGTCACTAAACGTGTAACTGATGATTGAATTTATGTTGCAAAGTATAATGAATGGAATGCTTATTTTTATATACAATTTCTCCACATAGTGCTAAAACGTCAAGTTCGTTTGCTTACATTTTATTATTATTATTATTAAAACTTTTTTATTCATAGACCGCAAACAAATAAACTTAATAATCCTAATATAAAAATTCCCTTAATGTGAATTGATATTAGCAGAAAATATGTAAACTTTTTGGCAGAGAATAGTTCTATAGCGAGATAATGTTTCTCGTAGTGACTGGTGTGCGCTTCCACAAGCTGACGTTCGATTGTCTAAGTAAACTATACCTTTAAGTATGAACTACATAGTAATGTCTACACATAAATTATGAAACTAACGCCGGAAAAGAACTGCACTTCAACTATAACAGTTTTGTATTCTAGTGAACAGTGTGGAATACAGATGAACTTCAATCCATTTATGCGCTTAACGGAATAAAAATAAACCAAATGGGAAAAATTTATAACAGTAATCAGAGGTTTTGGATTTAGTTCGACTGAAACAATATAAATAGAAGAGAGCTGGTTATATTATTGATGAATATGATAGCTTTTCCAAGTTTTGTAATATGATGAAAAAAACAGGAACTTTCATAAACAGAGTATTTAACTGGTACATAAATAGAAGAAATTCAGTCTGATATCGCCTTGGTGATAAACCGAAAAGAATTCAATTCTAAAATGATTAAAGCTGATCAACTTCATAAATTAATTATTTTCATTAGCCTAAAATCAGACGGAGAAAAACGATACATTACCGGGAAAAAAAGCTGATATTTTTGCTAAGGATCAAACAGTAGGTACACAAGATGATAATCTCTCAATCAATCTCACAACATTCCGATTATAAAATGAAAAGAAATCTTATATTGAAATCATTTCAATTAAACGAGCTTATATATATATATATATATATATATATATATATATATATATACAACCAAACTACTATCCATTAACCTAATCATGAGGAATGTTAACATAATTACTGACTGGTACTGTAGAGGGATAGTATTGATAGCGGATCAATATTACCAATAATAAAACCATGTAAATGTACTGCTGTTTATTTAACCTACGATGTTATTAGTACTATTAAAGCCACTTTTATGTCGCAAATGGGGATCAAATGAACGTTATGAAATTTTTAACCAATTAGTGTAAAATTTCTGAATAACAAATGAAAATAAACCTCTCAAGTTGAATGGATACAGTGCCGATGTTGCGTCAATGTACTAGAATCTGAAGAAGTGTGAATACTGTCACGTCCAGGTCTGAAACCAGCCTTATTTTCTCGAGTCTGCTCTTCACGAGCTCTAGTTAGGCGTCTAAGGATTATCGAGGCTAACAATTTAGACACTATTTTAGTTAGACTGACTCCCCTGTGATTGTCACAAGAAGACTTTTGTCCTTTCTTATAAATTGGGAAAATCAGTGATGAGATCAGTCAGATAGGATTATGTCTAGTTCCTAAATTCCAGATAGGATCTCAGTCAATCTCAATGCTAAAATAGATTCACCATCCTTAAAAATCTCAGGGGTTAATCTATTGGGACCTGCTTTTCTCCCTCGTTTGAGACTGCCTATAGCTTTTTCAACCTCATTACGAGTTGGAGGACTCACTTCGAATTACCAATCAAGTGACCGAAGTTCGGCTGAAGGCCAGTTGAGCTGATCCCTAAAATGTTCTACCCATCGATCCAATCTCCTGGATTGAGAAGATTGGATTGATATAACAGTACCATGAGCACCAACAGAATAAATTAATTTCACGAACAAAAATTAGTTGAATTCATAAGTAGGAACCATGGGATCATCATTATCACAGTGAACATGATACCAGTGTAGATAGACAGTGAGGTGAAGAATTGCAGCACAAAATAAAACAACTGCTTAATACTTCCTACCTTTGAAATCTACTCAACTATAATTGGCTGATTATAAAATCTATTGTTAAATGATAAAATCCCTTTTTTAAAAGATAAAATAAACAACTCAATTGAAAAAAGTCACCTACCTTTTGCAGACTCGAATGATTTAACAATGTTTTGTCGATTACCTTGACCGCAACCTTTCGTTTATGAGGTAGGTGTTCATGATAATGAGGGCAAAAAAGAAAACATCAGAACAATTGAGTAAACTAGGTAAAAACATCAAAATATCATGAAGAAAAGTTTCATGTTGTGATTCAACTGGTGAGACAGTAGTAATTTATAGGCCGAAACGTATAATATTATTCAAAATTGTTGACAGAGAAACAATTACATTAATCATTTCTCTTCTCCAACTTCAGTTCGGTATTATGACATACTTTTAATTATTTAATTTAATTCGTTATTTTTGAACCAGATTTCTCAATAAAACTTGAGAAACGTAAATTAAATTGACTTGATGGATACTTTTGAACGTGTGATACTTATGAATATCTGAATATGTAAACGGCAACACAAAATGTGCAATACATTCAAACATCACTTTGAAAGTTTTATTATCAGAAGTTGAGAAATAGACACTTATCGTTGTCTGTAGGTGGTCAGTCATTGAGTCAATGAATAATAATTGAAAATCAACTAATATATTCCAACAGTAATTGGTTAATTGTATCAAAGATTTTACTGATAATGAACCTTCAAATTTTAGTACAATTAAGTCAGTCAGTTGCAACGTAGAGCTTCGTACACACGTATAACTATACCACAACAGCACAGAGATGCAATTTTCACCTGAAATCACACAGTAGTATATGTAGAGAAGTATTAGCAATAATTGGAGAGAGTACGGTTCGAGGACATTATTCAATAAGTAGAATCACTTGAAATAAACTCAAAAGCAGAAGATAAAGGTGATGAGGAACTCAAGGGTTAGGATTTGACAAAACTCAAAGAATGAATGCACCTAAGCCACTGCAAACGATTTTGACTCATGACGTTCAAGGTCTCTAACCATCGGTGATTTACGTCTCGCGGAACCCTAACAGAACTAGTCTACATCTACCAACATCACTCAGTCCACTTGTCAGTGACTTCATGCATGTGTCATTTTTGGTATTGTCGCCCCCAACTTTCTTTCAGCATAAACCTACACCACAAAATATAGCTCGAGGCAGTCGGTGGTTGGGCATACGCAACACATGTCCCAACCACTTCAACTGATGAAGTTTCAACATTTCATCTATTGATATGCCATTTTCATCTAGTATCTGTTCCCTAACAACAGCATTGCTTACTCGATTGTCCCAAGATATACAAGCGATGCTTCGAAGACATCTATGATCGTAAACCAGTAACCTAAGAATATCACCTACACTTACTGGCCATGTTTCGCAGCTAGAAAGTAGGACGGAGCGAACTGCTGCGCAGTTGGCCCGTCTTTGGCTATCAAACAGATATCTCGCCGACGCCATAAGTGACGCAGGTTGGCAAAGACTCAGATTTCCCCAGACATCAGGCCATCAGCATTGATCAGACTACCCAGATAAGTGAAGCGGTCGACTACTTCACTCCCTATCACCAGTTCAGGTGCGAAAGCCAGCTGATCATGAAGCAGCCTTTCGCATTGTGAGCGGGACAGTCACATCCCGAACATGCTTGCATTGTTGCTTAGGGTTGTCAGGAGACACTGCATTTTGTCAGCGTCTTAACCGAATAGAACTGTCATCGCCATATTCTAAGTTAACCAGTGAATTTCCTGGCAGAAGGTTCACTCCTGAAAATTCAGACGAAGATGTTATTCCTAGAAGTATGTCTATGACAAAATTAAGCAAGAATGTAGAAAGTGAACATCCCTGGTGGACACCACTTGAAGTAACCAATTCCGATGACAGTTCGTCATAAGCTCTACACAACCTGTAGTGTTCGAGTAAAGAGCTTTTATAAGGTTGATGTACTTTTCTGGTACATCTTTTAACGATAGATACTGCAACAGAACCTCACGATCCAGAGTCAAATGCCGCCTTATGGTCCAGGAAGACAACTATTGTCGGACGCCTAAATGAGTGTCTGTGTTCCAGAACCTATCGTAGTGTGAATATGTGGTCTATACTGTCACGTCCGGGTTTGAAAAAAGCCTGGTTTTCTCGAGTCTGCTCTTCGCGAGCTCTAGTTAAGTGTATAAGTATTATCAAGGCTAACAATTTAGACACTATTTTAGTTAGAATGATTCGTATGTGATTGTCACAAGAGGACTATTGTCCTTTCTTACAAATTGGAACAATCAGGGATTGACACTAATCAGATGGGACTATGCCCAGTTCCCAAATTCTACATAAGATCTCAGTCAATCTTACTTCTGAAACTGGACCATCATCTTTAAAAATCTCAGGGGTAAATCTATAAGGACCCGCTGCTCGCCTCGTTTCAGACTTCCTATCGCTCTCCAAACTTCATAAGGATGCGGACGACTTCCGTCGATTTGCCATTCAAGATGACTGGAGATCGTGGGTAACGAAGTGTGGCTGAAGGCCAATTGAAATGATCCCTAAAGTGCTCTGCCCATAGATCTAATCCCCTAGATTGGGAATGAATGGTACAACCATAGTCTCACATTCGGGTTCCTAATACCGGTTCCCTTTACATGTTTGAATAGTTGTCTACTGATGCCTATCACCGTTGCCTTTTCCATCTTTCTTGCCTCCGCTACCCACTACTTTTCGCGATCATTCCGATGGCTTTTTATCAGCCTGCCCCTAAGCTGACTCCGCTCCTCATCGTACTTAGAGCCAGACGGGATGAGTTTTCGAATATCCATCGGTTCGGTGGATGCTACTCAAATCCACGGCTTCTTCTTAGCCATATGGTTTACCTTACTAGCAGGTATCACTGCTGTTTCCACTGCCTTCCTGATATCATTCCAAGCTGCCTCCAGATGGGAGTCACTTACACGGTTGCTTAACTCTCTTTCTAGTTGCTCCTGAAATATATTCTTAGCTATGTTATCATTGGGTAGAACCCTAAGAAGTTTTCTTGCGGTGTCTTTCCTACCTCCAGTAAGCCGCAAACAAATACGCGCTAGCACTAGAGCATGATCTGGGTCTAAACAAGTGCTTCAGAATGAGCAACAGTCTTCGGTAGAGCCTCTCCACCGATGGATTATACCAATGTGATCTAGTTCGGTCCAGCGTTAGGACGACTTTCGGGGTCACCAGGTCAATAGGTGTTTCTCGTTATGCTTAAAGCCAGTGTTTGCTAGAAATAAGCGATTATCTGAGCATAGTTACAACAGACGGTAACCATTATCTGTTCTATCAGCTGTGACACTATAAGACCCATCCAGGTGTCTTTTCTTTTCACTGAGTCTACCTTTTTGAGCATTGAAGTCACTATATCAGAGCGCTCAACTTTTTAGAGGAGGTCCGAAAGCTTTCTGTGAACTGCAATCAGTGTGAGCGTAGGCAGATACGACGAAGAGGCAACAGCGAGTTTCCCTATCTTTCCGATTCCGTACCGTTCTGTTTACTCGGACAGCGTATAAGCGACTGTCTACCGTAATCCAGTCCTAGCACACCTAAACATCCAGCTTAATCTAGACAACGACCAACTTCTATATAAATGATAAGTTTTGCGTTTTCATTCTATTTACAGTTAGAAGTCCCTGCATATATTATCGACCAGTTCACTGGTATATTCAGAAAAATCTGATATCAGTATTTAAGGTTACAAAAAAGCCATCTGATACCTGTTATTATCAGATTACACCTTAAAGATCCAGTAACCTAGGATAATTATCAACAAAATATAGCTAAACATGAGTAAAAATATTATAGAAATACATTGAATTGACTAACATAATTGTACTTGAATACCTTTAAACAATCATTTTTGTTTATCGGTTGTGATCGCACAAGTATTGTTCATTTATTTTCATGCCTTTTAACTATAAACAAATACCAATGCACCTAAAACATCATTAACTTAAGTAAAACTTTCTTATTAGACTAATTTCTACATTCTTTACCAGTGATTTGTAGAAACTAGCTGTTATTGAACTATTTCTTCACTATCACGTTTATTATGAATTCAAACAAAATTACTTCAGCAGCGAATGCAATATCATAAGAATTGTGATAACCTGATCATTGATATAATGAATTGAAATCGTTAACGGTTTGAAAGTTCGAAACATACTGAACAGTTAGAATTGTCCCGGTAAATTTTACTTAAGGTAATAAAACGTAGGTTGTTTTATATTAGATTTTAGAGTTGCTTGAAGAATGTTAGTTCTTGGATTGAACGTAAAACCGAACACAGGCTTGTGTGAATACGCCTGATGTTAGAGAACATTACCGCATAATTTAATTCTATCAACAGCCTACTGTGGAAATAAGCCAGTAAGAAGAAACGTGTATTGTGCAAAAGACTAGAGGTGGGACCCTCAAGGTTAAAGGAAAAGATGTAGGCCAAGGAACACATTACGCTGAGAAATAGAGAAAGACGAGAAGAATGAAAAAAATTAACACAGAACTAGAGGTAGCAGGCGTAAGTAAGTAAGTAAGAGATAAAACCGATTACTTAAGTAGTTATATACCGCACAAGTAGTCGGACAAATAAATCTGCCTCGTGCACCTCTAAGGCTACTGCTGGTCTCAAGCCTGGAAAAATGAGGAGGAATGTGCATGGGGATAGCGACCCCATCCCGTAAAAAACCAACTCGCTAAACAAACGCCAACCAGAAAATATAATTCAAACCACTTGAACTCGGCCCTAGGAGTTAAAAGACCTTCATTTAGAAGAGTTGTTGAGTCCCATAATGAAAGCCGAGTTTCTTCAGAAGTCACAAGGCCGACACCCTTTTTGACAACCACGGTAACCATTAATTAAGTTGCATGGAATAATCGTACAATGTGGGAGAACCAGAGAGTTATCCAAGTTCCTGCTGAAGTGAAAAGATACAACCTAGTGGTACTTCGAATCAGAGAAACACATTGGACGCAGGCTGGAAAACTAGGACTAGCTTCAGGAGAGCTGCTGTTATACTCCTGACATGAAGAATAAATGCTCCACATACACAGCCAGTTTCACCGATGGGCGGAAAAGGCTGAAAGAGAGGGAAACATGAGACAATTGTACGACACAACAAACAAGCTCGCTGGAAATCACCAGAATGATCAGCGAAAAGCAACGAAGGAAAAGCAATCACAAACATTGAGGAACAGCAAAACATGTGAGTAGAGCACTTTGAAGAACTCTTGAATCGACCAGTCACACTGAACCCAACCAACATTGAAGCAGCACCTACAGACCTCACAGTTGATGTTCAACCAACAACTAATAAAGAAACCAGCATGGCCATTAGACAAATCAAGAGAGGCTAAGCAGTGAGACCAGACGACCTTCCAGCTGAGGCATTGAAAGCAAACACAGAAGTAACTGCAAACATACTCCACATTCTCTTCACAAGATTTCGGATAAAGAACAAGTACCAAAAGACTGAAGACAAGAACACCTGATCGAAATACTAAAGGAAGGAGATCTCAACAAGTGTGACAACTACAGAGATATCACTCTACTATCAGTACTAGAGAAAGTCTTCAACAGAGCATTGGTAAACAGAATGAAGGATTACGTAGACCCTCAACTTCGAGATCAACAGGCCGGATTCCGTAAGGATCGATCGGTTACCGACAAAATCATAGCAATACAGATCATTGTGGAGCAATCAACTGAATGAAACTCACCTCTATACATAAACTTCTTTGACACTACGACGTGCTTGAGAAGATAGTCAACATCATACGGAATTCTTATGATGAACTAAACTGCAAAATCGTGCACGGAGGACAGCTGGCAGACTCGTGTCAAATGAAGACCGGTGTTAGGAAAGGTTGCTTGCTTTCACCCTTCCTCTTTCTCCTGGTGATCAACTGGATTATGCAGTCGTCAACATCTGGGAGGAAGCACGGCATACAGTGGACAGCAGTAGCAGTTCTCAACATACACAAACGGTAAAGCAAGATTCCCCGATACAACGCAACATGCACCAACACACTTAATGGAGACGCTTTGGGGGATGTAAATACCTTTACATATCTGGGTAGAATAATTGATGAGCACGGTAGATCTGATGCAGATGTGAAGGCACGGATCGGCAAAGCAAAGACAGCATTTCCGCAAATGAAGAACTATAGCTACCAACCAACACCAAAGTCAGAATTTTAATACAAATGTCAAGACAGTTCTACTATATGGGGCGGAAACTAGAACTACCAAATCCATCATCCAGAAGATACAAGTGTTCATTAACAGTTGTCTACGCAAAATACTTCGGATTCGTTGGCCAGACGCCATCAGCAACAGCCTATTGTGGGAGAGAACAAACTAGATTCCAGTGGAGGAAGAAATCAGGAATAAGCGCTGGAAGTGGATAAGACACACATTGAGGAAAGAACGTAACTGCGTCGCAAGACAAGCCAAATGAAAATAAGAAGACTAAAAAACACATTGCTCTGAGAAACCTAGACAGATATGAGAAGACAACAATTGGACAGAACCAGAAAGGAAGGTTCAGGAAAGAATAAGTTGAAGAACTCTGGTCGGTAGCCAATGCTCCACTGGGGGTAGCAGGTCTAAGTTAGTAAGTTGAATAAATGTCACAAAGTAAAAAAAATGAAAATGGAAGTTTCAAATCAGAGGACAAATTTGATATCAGAAATTCATTTTGATTTGAAAATTATGATTAATTTTAGATGGTTTACTTACAAACAAAACATTCATGCGCCGACTCATATGGAATAAAATCCGACTGATAGTTGGATTACTTAAATGAGGATGAAACTAATTAACTGAAAGTAAATGAATAGATAATTCAACGACGCATTACAGTGTGAGTCACTCACAAATAGTAAAACCGAAAAAAGTGCATACCAGATTCTTGACAGAAAAAATCTCATGGCTACTAAACTAAATAGCTCATTCAGAAAATGATGGAGAACACAAAGTCCTTCGCTTTGCAGCGCATTTTTCATACACAATTAATCATATTTAGTGACTTAAGTAAGTAACAGAAGATAATCAGCTGAAATTATAAGTGTAAGGACAGTCTTTGTCAAAAAAATTACACAACTATCTTGGCAGTAATAGTATTTCTACCTGAAAGTTTCATTATTATTAGCAGGTAAAGAATTAAAATATGACAACTAACCTTCATTCCAGTTGTTAGGTGCTGGGCAAGTTTGACCTTTGCAAAGTTTCCCTTACCAATAGTTTGAATTAAGCTATATTTCCCAACATGGGGTCGATCTTTCCATAACGGCCTACCACTTGAATTAGATGTTGTAGTCTTTAACTGTTGAGAGGGCCGATTGTTTGGATTATTTTTGTTAGTCAAACCATTTTTATTAGGGTTAAGATAACTAGCTGTATTGTTGTTTGGTTTGGATACTGGTGTAGGGGTTGCATATGTATGTGACGAAACGTCACTGTAGTTGTATGGCGTAATGTTAGGTCCAGGCGTAGTTCCAGAAGGCCAATAATAATAATTGGACGAGGCGTGCATTGAAATCGACATTACATCTTGGTTATTAGGAAGATTATTTGATTGACTATTTCGGAAATTTGCATATGGATGACCAGTATGAGGTGATTGGGATACTAAACGCGATCCAGGAACACCCAAATGATTGGTGTTTAGGGATGTTTGTTGAGGGAGCGCTGGTGCACGGGGAGCAGCCGTAGATGGGTTTGGACCCAGACCGGATACGGGAATATTGTTCTTATAGTAATAGGTTTGCATCGATATGGATTCTTGGGGTAATACACTATGTGGATCAGAGTAGTAAGCTGGATGGGAACTTGAGGGCATGATTCATGATACTGTTTCAACAGATATTAGGACTAACCAACTGCTGTTTAGTTGACAAACATTTTGTATGAAACAGTCTAGAACTATGTGTAGCATTTATCGTAGTTTTTGCCATTAAACAAGTTTCTACATATAAATTTATATTCAAATACATCCCAAAACTTTGACTGCATGCTGAAAATAGAAAAGTGATATGTGAGTAACAGGATAATTTGTCCCAACTAACTCCATCATGAAATGCGTATATTTAAACAAAAAACTATTTGAGAACAAAAGAAGACGTCAGAATATGTAACTGGAATTCCGATATATGATAATAAATTCATCTTAAAGTGACTGAATTAAAAGTCTTCGACTACCATTATGAAACATCCCAAAAGAAATCCATTCTGAATCCCAAGTCTTCCACATAGTCAGTTGAAGATATTAGTTTCTTTCAACAGCTTACAACTGATCAAACGGATAAAGATAGTTGCTAACATCAGCAAAAAGCTGATGGTAATACGAGGTGTGACTTCCATTTCGAAAACTGAATCATGAACTTTATTTATCAGGTGAATATCTTTTATGTAAGTGGCAGATGTGAAAATCAAGTGACAAACTTTTGGTTGCTGAATTATCAACTACATTTTTTTGACAAAGCTCAAAGTAAGTATACTGCTTAACCCCATTTTCGAGGTGCAGGCTGCATTTGACATTGCATGACAACGTTTAAAGTTCAAAGTCTACTCACAATATCAAAGTATTGAAAGCTTGTATTTGAAAACTTATGGTGTCAGAGAGTAAGAAAATCTATAACTATGTTAAGCTCTTGATATAAAGCTTACTCAGTAACTCTATGTTTATGTAATACCTGGTTTCTCATGAATTGAGCTGCTACTTTGACACATGATATAGACAATAATATACTTACTCACCATGTAAAGATTCATGTGTTCGGTTTTGAGCCATATTTCGCATGACAGCTAGTGATGCTCTCTAGCTGACTAAATTAAAGGTGAAGTGGTGTTTTAAGCTGAGGCCTATTTTAGTACAAGTTGTTTGAAACTCGATCGAAATAGTCCTTTGTACGAAATGAGTAGCCTATACACTAATCGCTTTCCAAATACAAAAAATTAGGGATGAATGGAATTGCATGACACACACTTGTGCCAGATCTTAAGCATTTTATATTTATCTGTCTGATTTAATGATGCGAGATATAGCTGAAGAGGAAAAACATTACTTAGATTTTCACTGACCCGTGTGTTGGTAGTTAAGTAAACTTCAGAAAAAGGTGAAAAATTGTTCGTTTTCCTGAGTCCGAAGAATGACTTTTGAGATCTGAGATTATAGACTCTACACTTTGTCAATTTGAATGGATCAATTCTTTATCCATCTCTAAGGTTAGAACGGACTGTTACGGTAAGGATTATATAGAGTCAAGTCATACTTCTTTATCATGCCCATATTACTTTCATTAAACCGATTTCCGACTGTTGATGTTTTCCATTGAGCATCCACTAGAGCGGATACACAAATGTACCACGATGTGCAACGTTTACCTGTCTCCATAACGTTTATCTTGGTTTGATTAAAGTTAGACATTAACATTTGGATGTCAGCTCGGCGATCTAGAAGTTAAGTAGTCACTCGTGAGACTGGGGGTTAATGATCTGACTCCCGTGTACAGGGTTGTGGATCTGTACTGCTGAAGAAACCATAAAGGGCTGAAACGGCTATCCAGTGCTTACAGGTTTTCCTTGGTGGTTTAACTTAGATCGACTCATAATTTCATTGGTAACTGGGAAATCCTAGTCGATCTTAACCTAGATGCCCTGAAACTTTGTTGGTGTTTACTTCGTTAAATGTAACTAGTTCACGAAAATGTTGAACCACTTTACTTTTGACTGGAACGGAAAAAATTTACGATGATACGCTAATAAACATAAGAAATTAGACTTTTGATATTACAATCAATGTGCCGAAAATCAGTAGTGCATGTTAAGTTCTTAGAAAAACAATGAAAACCAGCAAAAAAGGCTAAGAGTTATCTCATAATCTTAAGCGAAATCAACACAAACAACAAAATATTAAGGATGTCTAGTCACGATTTTAAAATAACTCCTACATGGTGACAGTGGAATAAGAGTTATACCAATGCCTAGACAATGAAGACTGAAAGCAATGACTTATTAATTCACTAACCATTGTTTAAAACTACGTAAAAGTTAACAATCAAATGCATATCATGCCCAGCTAATAGATAACTCTGAATGTATTGGAAGAGCAGCCATCGACTTGACTAATCAATCGTTTACCACACGCATATAATTTGCAGAATCAGCAGACTAACTCTTTGAGCTAAAACATGAAGCATCACTAGGTTACATGGCCGTTTTCTTAACAACTTTATCAATACTAAAGTGGATGACAAATCCGAACTCATGATATAATGGAACAGCCAGTGGTAAAATGTTCACTTGAAACACAGAGGTAACTCTGCCTACGAGATGAAAACCTGTCTACGGAAACTACATGAAAAAGAGCATGATACAGTATTTTGGCAAATAATTTCATATTAAGGGTTGATAGAAAATCTGGTCACGGGTTTAGGTTTGAAAAGTAACCAGGCCTTTGTACACAATCTAACACGCAATAAAGAAGAGTTAGGACACCCAAACGAAGACTTAACGGGAGTTTTCCTTTAAACTTAGGAAATTAGACAGGTGATTTACAATATCGCTGATTCATCCAGATATTACAACACTAATGGAAATCATAGTGGAGCGAAAATGAAAAGTTCAGAATTCACCGTAAGCAAATAAGTGAAGCCACACATTAGGTATTTGATTTAGGACTGAATATTATCATCGAAAGTGGAATCCACACACAACATGATAACTTACTGCCTTAAAGTAGTCTAATAGTTACAATTCATCTCTCGCACAAACTCGGACAGGGTGCATATTCAACGAATAAAACAAACACGAGAAATAAGTGACTCAAAGAGCACAGAAAAAAGGTATCACTTATACACAAAAATAATTGACATTTTGCCCCTTAAAACATTAAATGGCAAGACAGACTCTCTGATTAAAACATAAAGATTTTAAGGTTGGATGCTTGTATCCATATATGGAAGTCAGCATCAATAACTTTGACTATTTTTCATCACCCTTCAATGCAAAGCTTCTACTGTGAATTTAGGACGAATCAGACCACGGTAATCTAAAAAAGTTATTTCAGACCTGAATGTGATGTTACATTGGAAGCCTTTGTCTGTTACCAGAAACATTTCTAATCCAATTGTTTAGCGTCTCATACTGGACTTATTTGTGTCGGTTATTAGGTCGTAACTATTTTTATATTTATGCAAAGTGAACTGAAAACATTGGGTTTTTCTAAGTTTTCCCATTTTATCTTGCTTGAATTTTTCATTAGGTTATACGTACATATATTCTCGAGCTGTTAATGCGCTCACGAACACGTTAGACTTGAATGCACTCTCAAAAGCAACAGACCGTCACCGAGATTGGTTTTTGGAAGATCGGATTAATTTAAAAATCTTAAGGCAACTCTCATTTCTAAATACAATTCTTCGTGACGCCTTAGCAACTAGATTTGCTTCAACGTATTTCCTATCGCCTTGGCGAATTATCTAGATTACGTTATTAAGTCACCGGATATAATACGTAATAATCCTAACCTATGAACCGATTTGTTTGATCTTACGTTGAGGTGGAACCATCCGATCTCTCAGGTTCCTGGTCGAAACTAAGTTCCTGGCTAGATCAGCTTGGTTTCTAGTAAGCTCGAACATCAAACAAAACCTTTCCTAGAAAATTATCAGTTTAACGTCATACTTTAAAGACCACCCAGATCAAGTGTTAGAACCAGTCTTCGATCCTGATGATTTATCACAATGATTCGCCTAGAATTATTACATGGTAAAAACTACATTTTACTCACTATTTCTACATCTATGTTCAAATCGAATAAGATAGAGCAGATTATCATCTTAGATTATGCTCTAGTTGCCGCCTTAGTTCAATGAGCGATCTAAAATAAGGTTGTCAAACGAATGACTGACTGATAAAACAACGCGTATGAAGCATATTTCAGCAGGAATTCGTGATAAAGCTTCCCGGTGTACATCATAAGCCATGTAAAACCAAGAGGTATAATCAATCTGAGGCTCAAGATGGAACGCGTCATTGTGTGTACCCCTTCAGCGATAACGGATAAAGCTTGTTCAGACTAAGAAACAAGATGGTGTTGGACCTAAGTTAATAGAAAATTTATAACTGTTTGTTTCAGCAGAAGGCAGAATATAATAAAATGGCCACTTAGCATTGAAATCAAAAACGCATACAGCCAAACATTATGAAGTATACAGTCAAAACAAAAGTACGAACAGCGACAGTCTTAAGGTCAACAACAACCAATCAACACCGAGGATAACAGAAAAAGCTACTGGTCAAACGTGGAGAATCCGAATACTCCACTTCTGCCTGAAGTTTTTGCTGATGATGATGCTCGGGAGATCAATGAAGGCTTCACAATCAAAAGATCCAGTTTACAGAACGAAACACCACCACAATCATCCACCTGAGCTACAAGTTTTCTCCACCATCTCAATAACTGCAATGACTTATACCGTTCATCGAACACTTGAAGGAAAACAGAAAGAGAGGGCACGGAGACACCTAGTCATAATGGCATGACCCAGTCACACTGGCGTGGTTACTCTAGATAACCCGTTGCTCCTAATTTTTAAAATATCGTCCTAACTACAGCCGTTACCTATTATTCAAAAGTCTTAAGAAGCATGTTTTGTGCCGTCAAGATATGACGAATCAGTATAAGCTTTGAATTTACGTCTATATAGGAATGTATGGTTTAGAGAGGCACGCAGACAGCAGTGGCTTACACCTAAATGCTGCACTGTTGAGGTCGACCAATGAAACGCAAAGTGCTAATAATACTCATATTCACAGCCATCCACCTGAGCTACAAGTTTTCTCCACCATTTCAATACTCATACTCTCCATAACTTTCCCAGTTGGTTAGTGCTCGTACATCTCGCCTCTTGGTAATATCAAATATTACTCTGGGTTAATTTTTGTGTCAATCAAGGAGCAAATTCATCAGCACCATGCTAATTGAAGAATTAGTACCTATACGAACCAGTTCTTAATGGATTTATACTATCGATCACTTACGGCTGCGTATTCATCAAATCTATTGGCTAACCCAAACTTGGAAAATAAACAAGTGAAGTCTGACTAATTCGCTAGTTGATTTGTCATGTTTATGATACTTTGTAGGGCGCAACACTTTTTTTACTCGAGCTGCTTAAATATGACGTTTCATGGAGGCGTCACTCCTAAATCTAGCAATAACAATATATGTGTAATGGCTTCATATCAAAAGATACTACCATCATTGCGTTCTAATTTCTTTGTAATACGATACAGTCTACTGTGGAGCAGGTTACCAATCGCTATTCGTATCTGTGACACAATCACTAAGTTCAAGAAACTAGTTATGCTGTTGCTAGATTCTAAAGAGATTTATCGACTATTCCCAGAACTCACACAAAGTCCCCAGGCACTCTTTTATGGTCCACCAAATATTTAGATAAACCTCAGAAACTAATTATAGACTATGACCATATTGTGTTCTCATTACCACCCATACATGTATCATGAAATGGTAGACAAATCCCCCTGCTCCTACTAACAGCAATAGGTTACGCCTTTGAGGTGTTAACCGTGACTTTTCTCTGCTTTTAAATTCCAATCATTATTTTCATATCTTCATAGCAGTTTTAGTTTTTATTTTTAGTAGACAGACAAATTGACAAGCCTGTAGATGCTGATCAACTACTGTCAATTACAAGGAACTCAAACACCATGTATAATTGTGAGTATCTTCTTATTTACGTATTAACAGTTTAACTAATTTTTATTTCCCCAATTCATTAACATCCAAACACCTTGCCTGCTTACCAACTTATCGCTTTACTCATTAATTTTTAACATTATTTCAACTCTTTTTTTCTCCTTCTCCTCGTTCCAGCTCCCTGTCCTTCCTATTTCCAAACTACCTATTGACTGACTCATTTTACAAATCATACCATTCGTTTACTTAAAATCAGTGTGATATGCTTCGTGGATATTTTCTCTGGCGAAGTTATCTGGATGGCTTGTAATATGGAGCTAGTAGAGAAAGTGAATTCCGATAAGGTTTACAAAAAAATTAGTGTAGACTAGAGACCATTATTTACAATCAACCATTAAAAGTAAGAGAGCCTAACATCACAAAAGGAGGGAGGGTGGAGTTTCTGACCAGCATTCATGACGGTGGGGCGATAACCTCAATCTACCCATGTCTGTGTGGCAGAACATTTTGTTTGCTTACGGCTCCTTACGATATGGCAGGATGTAACAAATCAGTGATATTGATGTCACTTTTCCTAGTTAACCTCGTCTACAACTCATGTCTGTAACCTTGCACTGGTTTTTACTTCCTACCGAGAAATCCTATTACAAGCTGGTCTGGATAACTATACTAAAAAAGAGCTCATTCATAATTTCTTGAGCTGCAGAGTTAAAAATAAAAATATATAAAACAAAAAATTATATCACTGAGCCTCTTTATTATATTTTGTAAATCAACATTATTACTAACAACTTGGTACTTCTGAATTTCCTCTATTCTTTCGACTAACTTCCCATTAGTTATCTCACCAATAATTTGTCTTCATTAACCTACATAAGTGCAGGTGTACTGTAATGACATTAAAAAAGTCTGAGTAAACATACCTTTGTTTTATCTATAAACGTATTTTCTGTTCCGCTCCTCGTCCCGTCTTCTTTATTCCTCTTTTTTCAGAACCTTATTCCACTCCTCATATATTAGTCTGGATATTTGCAGTAGACTTGGTTACCCTACCCAAGAACATGTAAAATCATTAGCTGATGAATATCAACCAGACCTTTGTACATTTACCGCATCAATTCTTGTTATATGCAAACCTATCTCTACCATGAATCGTTTCTCAGTCCATAAGATGATTGTCGTAACGCAACCTTCGTAACTTGCGCCAATTATTCGGATTGTACATTCCATCTTTAAGAACACAATGAATCTTGTGAAATGTTTCAGTAAATGTATACCGTTTTAAAAGAAATATGTTGTTAATCTTAACATTTTGATCTTGCCTGTAAATTGGCATGTCTCTTGTAACATGTTTGTTATTTGAGAATAAATTATTATTATTATTATTATTATTATAACTACGAAATCCCATCACAGTTCCACATACTGTATGACTCATCTCCTTGCATCAACTAGCAAACTTAGACGAACCACTCCTCGACTTCCCAAACCCCGTTCGATCTTACCTACGATCCTTTTCACTCCTGAATTGCGGTTCGATATGGGTCTCTTGGATCTGAAAGGTGTTATAGACAAAAGCATTGTCCATAACTCAATATTCGCGACACCCATATTAGTGAGAATGGAGTGATATGGTGCACTCAGAAAGATATTGTAAGTCTGTTCCTTATCTTAATGTTTTAAATTTTTTCATATTGTGATATTATTCTTGTTTTAAGATGTTCATCCTTGTATATCGATACATATTCTCTTCTTATCAAGTAGTAAACAATACATCAAGGCTTCATAAGATTGAGACGCTTGCACAAACGAACTTCAAACTCAAGTCATTCTGTCCTGATAACATTAAAGCCTGGTTCTGCTATGCATAGGTTAACTTCTTTGGATAAAATGCGAAAGACATACATTCAATATTCCTTGATGTAGTGAAGAATGTCACGCGATTTGCACGGGTACATTACACTCTGTATGATGATGTTTCCGAAAGTAACGTCATCGATAAAAAAGCAACTTGTTAATGAGGAAACCTAACTGATCGATAAAGGAATGGCTAAGTTTTT